AGAGAGAGAGAGAGAGAGAGAGAGAGAGAGAGAGAGAGAGAATGAATGTAGGATGCACTTATACACTGCTAATGAGTGTGATCTGGGTGTCATTACAGCATGTAAGTAGGGCATAAGAAGCATGGTAGTGCATACCTTGCTAATTTTCTATTTGGGATCACTTGCTCTGTGGTGAGACAAACTTCATGTGATTGGTCCCCAAAGAGGTCTGTGTGGCAAGGCTGTGGTGCCTCCAGCCCACATCCTTCTTAGGTGTAAATCTGCTAGTCTCAGTGTGACATCTATTATGTCAGAGACCGGAGCCAGAGCTGCCCATGGAAGCTACAGAAATGGGGGCTGAGTGTTTCTTATTTTAACCCATTTACATTGGGGGGAGGCTATGTAATGCAAGAACTAAGTCAACAGCATGGAATCTGTAAAGATGGATGGCATCACCCATGGTTTCTCTTTCTGTAAGCTAAATCTGTTAGCCGTCTCCCTTGCAGTACAGAAACATCTTAATTTCATGAATTTCCTTTTGTCAATGGCTGACAGTATCTCCTGAGCAGAGTCCTGTTCAGAAGGTTTTTGCCTGTGTATGTTCCCTGAGATGCCTCCCCTACTTTTTCCTATAACAGTTACCAAGCTCTGGGTCTCAACGAAGGCCATTCTTTAATCCATTTGGAGGTAATTCTTATACAGAATGTGAGATGGGAATACAGTTTCATTCTTCTGTTTGTAAACAATCAGTTTCTGAGAACTTTTTTTTTTAAAGATGAATGTGCCCATATATATCCAACTAACTTTTGAGCTTTTCAAAATTAAAAATATATATATATATATTTGTTTCAGGTTTTGAGTTGTATCTTGTCCTAGATATTGCTTCTATGGGGGATACCTATTTCATGGATGATTATGAAAACTAGTCAGGACACTGTGGTCTATCCTTTTGGAAGAAGGAGGAGGAGGAAGAGGAGCCTGAGGAGGAGGAGAAGAGGAGGAGGAGGAGGAGGAGGAGGAGGAGGAGGAGGAGGACACAGGAATCATTGGCTGATACACACCTCCCAGCATGAACTCTATGGCTTGCAATGAGTTTCCAGTGCAAGGAGGCTGTCCAGCAATGGGGGAGCTGGCCAGGAATTAGCCCATGGAGGAATGTTAAACCCAGCAGCGTTGTCTTGCCATTACAAATGTATTGGTCCCAACCACTTATGATGGATTAGGCTTCAATATTATGTCATTTAAGAAGAATCATTCTGTGCAACAGAGAGAAAATATATCTTAGGTATAATTGCTTTCTGTTCAGAAGTGTACTTCTGTTGTAGATGAACTTTCTTTTACTTGGCTGGCTGAGCAGAAATCATGTTCTCAATAGAATAATTTTGCAAACCATGGTTTCCAACGGTAATCATGTCTCCTTTCTGTTGCCAAACTTTGTAAGATCGTCAGCTATACAAGCTGTTCTCCACGATCCCTTCACTTGGACACTGTTAACCCTTCAGCTGTCATGTCCAAACATTCGGAAGCTACTGAAGTTGTTCTTGGGGGTTGTCACTGACCCTACAATGTCAGATCACATCACTCTCTCTCTCAAAATTTTTCCTTAAGGATGATTCTTTTCTTTCCTTGAAACCATGCTCCTTGGCTTTCTTTGTGCATCCCTTTTCATCTCTGAATAATCTTCATTAAGATCCTCTCCTCGCTCGTTGTATTATTCCTGTGGATGGTAATTGTCCTGCTCTTAGTACTGTGTACGCTGCATTTTTCTGGTAATTACAACCATTTCTGTGAAATGACTGTGAAACAATCTGAGTTAGATTCAAATTTTCCAACTGTATGTCAATTCATATGTCATTTTAATTCATTGTCTCATTAGGAAAATATTAGCCACTGGATCAAAATAAACACAAAATTGAGTGTTACAACATGACGCCAAGCCATTGTAACTCATGTTTCTAAGGCAATTAAGAAAGTCATGTTTTTTAATTGAAGTGGTTCCCACTCCCTTGGGACCATTATCACATGGGGTAGAAATCGGTGAGGAGATCTAGTTATTACTCATGTAAACAACTGCCATGTATTACCAGCTTTCAGACTTACATGCTTCAGTCAGAGTAGCTTCAAACTATCAGTGGCTTGCAACAGCAAAGGCTTCGTTCTCACTCTCTCTCTACCCACCGTGAGCTACCTGTGTCTGTTCCGTGTTACCTGCGTTCTAAGGACCAGGCTCACCAGGAGCCTCCTTCAGTCATGGCTAGTTTTGTGGCCTCTACAAAGCAGCATGATGAATACCATGTCCCCACCTTTCTCTTTGTTCTGAGTAAGTCACACAGAGAATCCTAGCGACAGGAGGATGGGTGACAATTTTCTTCCCACACTGAGGGTCATTGTAGGATCCATGGCAAGCCTGACAGAAATCCCTCAGGGATGGGTAATTGTTCTACAGAATTAAGCAGTGAATACTTTGAATAACTCAACCTAGCATGCCATGTTAACATAATAACATTTGAAAATGGGATATTTCTTAAAATTACTGACAAATTGTATATGCTTGTTGGATTTCTTTTCTCTTCGGAAATATAAAAATGTAGGTCATCAGTGTCATGTTAAATTTAAGGAAACTTGATAGATTTCAAGTAAAAATGAATTTTCCTGTTATTGCCAAATGTGTAGATAGGGTCGTATTAAACAGTAACACACACACTTAAAGAGCAAGGGGGATCAAAAGCCTGTGGGTTTCAGATTTGCTAGGGCTGACTAAAGCCCCTCTTGGCTTACTTGTTTTGATGAGGACAGTTGCAGGCAGCTAGAAAAGCTTTTCAAAAAAGTTGACTGAGAGAAGTGTGTGAAAGATCAGAAAATGACCAATGACATAAAATAGAAAATTTGGAAGTAAGCTATGCCTAAGCATGGTACCACAAAGAATAAATTATATATATTTAAATAATATATATAAATATATATTACAGTATATATATATATATATATATATATATATATATATATATGTATATAGAGGTACACACACACACATAGGATTTCATTACTACAACCACTAACTTTGGTAGTGTTATCAGGGTTTTCCTTTTACAGATGAGGTAGCTAAGTTAAGAAGAGAAGTTTAAATGTGTGTGTGTATGTGTGTGTGTATGATATGATTCAGACAGTATATGGAAAGAAACATAATTCCAGGCTCCTCCTATGTCTTGTGTTGATGAGATTACAGATGGATTAAAGATCCAAACAGAGAAGACAAAAATTGCACATTATTGAAGAATGTATAAAGTTTTCAAAATAAGACACAGTACACGCCTATTGAAAGAGTCACATTTTAGCACTTGGTGTCTTCCTAAGCTTACCCATGCCTTTTAAACTCCTCTTCTTAACTGAGCTACCTCATTTGTAAAAGGAGATTCTGATAATAAAGTTAGTGGTTATGATGGTAAAATCATGCTCACACATGTACATACACATACATGAACTCACACACACAGAGACAGATACATACACTCACACACACAAAATTCCTAATGCATGTTATTCTATCTAGGATCATGTGACAGCCAATCAGATACTGATACAGATATAACTACGAACATGTGGATAAAATCATACTATGTATTAAATTAGATTCTGCTCAATCACCCATTGATCATGGTTTGCTGCTTTGCATATGTAAATGCATATTATATAAAAAGCTATCTAAGCCGGATTTATACCTGGTGGATATTAAAAACATTTCATGTGTCCTTAAGTAAAGATTGATTGAAAGTTACTACTCCCTCACAATTTAAGAACTGTAATGTGTGTAATGGGTTCTAATGTTTATTTAGTTTTTGCTCTTTACATCTATTAAAGAAGAAATAATAAATATGCACAAAAACAAACACAGATAGAACCCAAGTCATGTTCCTTCAGAATGCTATTGCTGGTGGCTTTCTTCCCTCTGTCTTCACAACTGTTTCCCTTACTCAGGCTGTGTACTAGCTTGAATCCCTGCCTCCCTTCTTCATTTTCCTGGCTGACCTCTTCCTACTCGAGCTACAGATTGTCTGGTTTCAGCCCTCACCAGACTCTCCTTGCTAAAATGCCTTCTATTTCATTCTCTATCATCACGGTTTATTCCTTCATGAGCTTAGGTCATATCTATAACTGTTAATGGCTTCCCTTCTGTGTTACCAGATGTTTTGACTTGCCAAGTGTTTCCAGCTTGGTTTGTTATGGTGATAAAATCATGACCAAAAGCAAGTTGGGAAGGATAGAGTTTATTTAATATACAGGTTTTAGTCTCACCACCAAAGGAAACCAAGGCAGGAGCTTGAAGCGGTAACCATGGAGGAGCACTGCTCGCTGGCTTGGATTTTTAGGCTTGCTTAGCCTGCTTTCTTACACAACCCAGGCCCACCCATCCTACTACATCAGTTAAAAACTAAGAACAATGCTCCCACAGACATGCCCACAGGCCAAGGTTGCTGAGGTTATTCCACAATTGAAGTTTCCTCTGTCCAGGTGACTGTGGGTTGTGTCAACTTGTCAGCTGGAGCTAACTATGACATCAAGACAGGGCCTGACTCTGTCTTACCTTGGCAACCAGTACCACTCAGAATAGATATCAAGTTCTTCTATAACTGAACAAATAATTGAACACAAATGGGCATTAAGATACTTTCAAAGAAGGTGGTCACAAAAATTTTAGGCTAACATATCCCCAACAAGTAGATATGGAAGTTGTAAATATTTTATAACATCCTGTTGCTTATTAGTTTATAAGGACAGAGACTACATCATCTCCCAACAAAGTATATGTTATGAATTAAGATTTGATTTAGGTATTGTTGACTGACTGAATAAATTAATTCTAACATGAAGTCATAGGCTATGTACCTGTTCTACAAAGAATTTGCCTCCAAATAAAATTACGGTGAAGTAGATTTAAACAGTAATTATAGGTGATTTAACACCAGGATGCTATAAGAGGAATGTAATATATGCATATTTTCTGCCATTTCTTTTCTTACAAGGGACCTGTTGGTTTACCTGGAGAAGTTGGGATAACTGGAAGCATTGGTGAAAAGGTAACTCATTGTGTTAATTTTTGTTTTGCATTAAGAACTGCAGGCTAACTGTAATCTTTCATATGACTGTTCATGGTGATTGATCAAAGGGTACTTGCCACCCTAATCGGGGACTAGAGGATGAGGATGGAGGACTAGGGACAGTGATCACTTTTCTGTGTGCTCACACATCTTCAACAAAACATCAGAGTCCAAGAAAACACTTGGTGAAAGCGCGGCAGCTGCTTGGGCATTTCCCATACTCGCGGCTGCACTAATGGAGCGCCTCGCCATGAGGGACCATCCAACCTGGTGCCCAGCAGGCTCAGATGGCAGCAACAACCTGAAGGAGGCTTCTACTTTTTTTTGTTGCTGAGCTTGTATCCTGGAAGTAATTCAATCCTGTGGTGGCCATCAAGCCCAGTGAAAAAGCCCACTGAGTCTGGCTCAGCCTTCTCTGGTCTAATCTGTTGGAACTACAGAAAGCACAGTACTCAGTACCCTCCTGTTCCCAATACCAAGGATGAGTCTAGGAGAGAGCAGAGCATCTTCATCCTCTACCTCCTAAGCAAGGAGGAAGCACCGATTGGTCTTGTTTCCTCTCTGAATGTTTGCCTTGTCCTGTATTTCTTTTCTTTTTACTCCCACCACGTTTTCTTTTGTTGTCAACACAAACTGTTCTCTTTCCAATGTTAATCATTCTCTTTTATCCCCTACTCTCTGTCATTTTATTATTTAATCATCAATACTTTTAGCTTGAATAGCTTTTCAATTCTTATCTTATTCTTTTATTATCTTTAATCCTTTTTTACAGTCCAGTCGGTTATTCCCCTTCCTGTTCTGCGCTCTAACAGTTCCTTATCCCATTCCTTCTCCCCATCTCCAAGAGGATTAACACGCACACCACCACCACCAACAACAACACCAGACCTCCCCACTCCCTAGGGCCTCAAGTCTCTCGAGGGTTAGGTGCATCTTCCCTCACTGAGGCCAGACCAGGCAGTCCTCTGCTGTGTATGTGTCGGGGGCCTCAGACCAGCTAGTGTATGCTGCCTGGTTGGTGGCTCAGTGTCTGAGAGATCTCGGGGGTCCAGGTTAGTTGAGACTGCTGGTCTTCCTGTGGGGTCACCCTCCTTCTCAACTTCTTCCAGCCTTTCTCTAATTCAACCCCAGGGGTCTCCGACTTCAGTCGGGTGTAAGTATCTGCTTCTGTATCAGTCAGCTGCTTATTAGGCCTCTCCGAGGGCAGCCATGCTAGCTAGACTCCTGTCTGTAAGCACACCATAGCATCAGTAATAGTGTCAGGCCTTGGAGCCTAAGTACCTGAGCTCCTTACTTTTCTCTCCTTAAGGCAATGTTGTTGACAGTTCTAGTTGGTTTTTTTGTTGTTGTTGCTGTTGTGTTTAAATATCCGATTTGTTTTTGAATTGTTCTATTGTGGTCTGCTTCCTCTCCTCTGAGTAGAGACAGAGATTGAGAGCTTAAGATAAAATCACCCCCTAAGAACACTTCCACATAAAACCAGAAGGGATATCCCAACAAATGCAAAAATATTTACATAGAAACACAAGAAAAATGGAAGGGCCAGGCAATATGACTCCCACCAAAGTTAACAAGCCCTCAATAACTGAGTCCAAAAACAATGAAGGGGCTAAAAGACTAAGCAAAGCATTCAAACGTTTACTTTAAAAAAGGACCAGTGACCTCAAAGAGGAGTCAAACAAACAGACAAATGGAATAAGAAAGTCAAATCAAGATTTAGAGAAGAAATTTAGTAAGAAAAATGAGAAATTTAATAAATAAACAGATTCTGAAGGGGAAAAGGCAGGAATTTTGGAAACGAAAGTCACCATAAATCAAAATTTAAACTGTGGACAATATTACCATTAAATTAAATTAGGTAGAAGAAAGGTTTTCACAGATTGATGATATGGTTAAGGAATGATTACATTCAGACAGGGAAAAAAAAAAGAAAGAAGAAAAGAAACAATCATGACCACTATTTTCAAGAACTTTGGGGCATGATCCTGAGATGAAAACTAAGAATTCTCAATGTAGCCGGGTGGTGGTGGCACACGCCTTTAATCCCAGCACTTGGGAGGCAGAGGCAGGCAGATTTCTGAGTTCGAGGCCAGCCTGGTCTACAGAATGAGTTCCAGGACAGCTAGGGCTACACAGAGAAACACTGTCTCAAAAAAAAAAAAAAAAAAAGAATTCTCAATGCAGAAAAAGAATGTATCTGTGAATTAAAGCCGCATGAATTCTACTTGCTGGAGCTGTGCAGAAAAATATTCAGAATGTAGGGAAAGATCTGTGCATCCAAGAGACATTTAGAGGCCTAAACAGACATAAAAAGAATGAAATTATATATCATTGCAAGTAATTGCTGGGAATGGAGATCAGGATGTTGAGGGAAATCCATTTCATGGTTTCTCTCACATGTGGAATGTAGTAAGCATAAAAGGGAGACCATTAGGGTGAAGAGAGAAAAGCAGGAGGAGACATAGAACAGTAAGAGAGTGTGTGCAGGTGATCACGGTGTGCTAGGTGCGCTTTGTAAATGGAACAATGAAAATTATTACTTTGTACAATTAATCTATGCTACTAAAAGGAAGATTTATTCAAAAGTATAACATCTTACCTCTAGTGAATCTCTTAAATATGTTGACATGTGGCTAGTTACATGCTTGTTTCTAAATTGTAATGGTAGGATACCCTTCTGGTTATAAAGATGTAATCTGAAAAGCAAATGTGAAGTGGCCAGTGTAGAATCAAAAAAAAAGATTACGCAATTCTACCTTGAAACCTCTTTGGAAGCAATTCTGAATCAGAAAAGTAAGCGTCTGGTTTACTCTTTTCTTTCTCCCAACTCATTAGACACCTGTGCTACACTCAGTCTCACTGCTTACCTGATTGTTTACTCTCTTCCATCCCAGACTTTTATTCATGGATAAACTGTTTGACTCTACTAATGTCTACCCTCTTGGAAAATGTCCTCACACATCTCTACTCCTTTCTGATTTCCTCCCTCCCTGGGGTGAGAAAAAGTTCTACAGAGTTTACAAGTCAACCTTTTGTTTCAGGAAATATTTTAAAAAGCGGCACCATCCTGCTCTAAACCCAGCTACTCTCTGCCCTCGTGGGCTGCCCAGCCATGCACTGGTGGGCCATGCTGGCCTGTTCTTGTCTCATGGAGACTCTCTGACCCAGAACTCCAAAATCTCTCCACCCAGCTCACTAAGGTCCCACTGGAGGGTCGCTATCTCCCACGGCCTTTTGTGATGCACATTAGGCAAACCCATGCTTTGCTGTTCTCTAAGGAACCTAGTCAAGCTGCCCTGTGAAGGAAAACACCACACAAACTTAGTTCAGAAACAATGGTAACTCAATCGCTGGGCGCAACAACTAGAATCCTAATCTTGTAAGCCATATTTAATCTACATCCTCCAGTGGCGAATCCTGATAGATCCGCCATTGAAACCAGGAGACTCTAATAGCTACATCTTGTCCTTTCACTATCCCTGTCCAAAAAAGCCCTATCTCTCTCTCCTGCCTACTCTCATCCTTTCCAACCTGGAAGTACCGCCTACTTGTCCAGTGATTGGCTCCTTTATTCACTAGGATGGTTCACAAGAAGTCACCTGAGTGACTCATTCCTCGTTCCAGACAGCCCTTCCTGGGAAAGCGGAATAAACATCAAAGTACAAATAACACCAGGGCCATCCACAACAACTTTTCTCTAATTATTTCATCCCCGCTAACAACCAATCTTGAAAGCAGAGTATAAGCTTAACTTCATAACATAATACAAATTCTTAATATATGCTTATTGATTTTAATATAACAAAGTACAGAAATTATTCAGTTGTTTGGTTATAATTCAATGAGCTAATACTTAGACAATATGAGGAATTTTAATGTGACTACATTACTTTTAACTCTCTAGTGAAGACTTGATTCCTACGCCCCTCCAGAATGAGATCTGCGACTCTTCGCTGAGGCCCCCAGTCCAAGGAAATAATTTCTTCCATTGTTCTAGAGATTACCTCCTTTTTCAATTTGCTTGATGTTTTCAGGAATTTACTACTCTGCGGTCTCTTGTAAGAACTCATTAGAGTTCTCATTTATAAAACTTTAGCAGGCTGCAGTGCTTTTTTTGGAAGATCCTGTTTACCCATAATTTCTATCTTCACTTCAATAAGACTACAACCAAGAGAACTCCATTGTATTAGGAGATTTGCAGCCATGGGGTTAAAAATAAAAGCTCTGTAAGTTTCAGAGGTGTTAATGGTGAAGACAGGATGTGCATGTAAGCGACGGCTGTGGTGGTTTCCCTTGGTACCCTTAGCTCACCCATAACTAACACGACTCAGTGTTGCCTTCTCTCCTTATTGTTTCACAAGGGAGAACGTGGAAGTCCAGGCCCACTTGGTCCCCAGGGGGAAAAAGGTGTCATGGTAAGAATTCACAAATCTAAAAACTCTGTTTCCTACACACGTAATAACAAAGCTAAGGCCTTCTGGGGGTAGACCCACACTGACTGGAATTTAAATGAAAATGTTATTTTATAATAAATTTCTATTGAACTTTTACTTTTAGCTGTTTGATATCCTAGAATGATGTTCTTTCTATGGTACCAAATCCATGAAGAAACATAAAAATAAACTACCTTAGTATTAAAAAAATCTATAATTTGGGAAAATAATTAAATGGAGACACATTAGCTACACTAGATTAAAAAGAAAATTCAACTGAAAATCTGCATATTCTTGAGCAAATAAAGTTTATATTACATATGTTCTCAACTGATCTCCAGTAATAAACCAATTTTTGGCCATTAATTGGTCTTTTGTCCATGGAGTAGATCTTTTGGGCATGAGGTAGGCCTTTGGCACATAAGAATATCAGCACCAAAAATTTGTCTTATTTGTTTATATCCTCAAGATAATGACAACTGAAAAGTTTTATATCTGGGTTGTATTTTTAGTTTATTTAATAGTTTGCAAGTGTTATAGGGAATTTAAAGGATGATCAGTATCAGTTTTAGAACCTCCCCTTTCAGAAAATATAGAATAATGTTGTCATGTAACACTATCTACAAGCTCACTCCACATTTAACTCTTTATTTTTTAATTTTCATATTATCAGAAGAGCACCACAAAATTTTTTTTTTAGCAATTTCTAGTGGGGTCAGGTAGTCAACCTAACTTATTCACAAACCAATTGAATTCAAGAATCTTTCCCTCCTAAGACATCTTCAAAATTAGTGTTAGTACCGTAATGTACGTGTTCTTCCTAAAAGTTGTTGGGTTAGTTGCATCTATCTTCCTTAATCGTGGGATTTACTGACCTCTTTAAAAAGTTCCTAAGTCATAGTTTGTATCATCACAGAGCATAGTCCACACATAAGATGTCATCACCTACAGAAAGAGGAAATGAAGGTGATCCTGAGGTATTGTAACACATGGTGCCACCTAGTGACTTTCTTTTAAAAACCGAAGGAGCTGAAAGGGTTTGTGGCACCATGAGGAGAGCAACAATACCAACCAACCACAGCTCCCAGGGTCTAAACCACCAGCCTGGGAGCACTTAGGGGGGGATCCAGGGCTTCAGCTGAATATATAAAAGTGGAGGGCCCTGCTGGGCATAGGTGGAAGAAGAGAACCTTGACCTCATGAAGGCTGGATGCCCCAGGGGGTGGGAATTTTGAGGGTGGGGAGGTGGGAGTGGGGGGGTGTGGATAGAGGTTACATCCACAGAGAAGAAGGAGGAGGGGCGAGGGGATTGGAGGTTCCGAGGGGGTGGTGGGGGATGGGGTAAGGGGACAACATAGGAAATGTAAATAAATCATCCAATAAAAAAAAAAAAAAGAATATTTTAACAAAAAAAAAAAAAAAAAAGAAGTAATTTCAGGCAAGAATCTAAATATTAGGCTAGAACAGAAAGTAGGCTTCAGACATGAAAATGACTTTTGACTAGGACAGGGAAGGTGACTCAGATATTCTGGTCATTCTGGTAAGCCCTTAGAAACAGTGATCACGAGCGTGTTCACGGAACTTTGTTTATTGCCTTGTTTGTTCTTTGACTATTTGTGTTTTTTGTCTTGCTTGTTCCTTGACTATTTGCATCTATTGTGTAGCTATCTAGTTCCTCAAACTAGAACTGACCTCAATACTCAATACTCAGTACATGTAATTAAAATGGTATAAAAGCAAAAAGGAGAAGGGAGATGGGCTAGAGTGTTTCTAGGGAGGGTAAATGGTGAAAGGGGATGACATATGAAATGTAAATAAACAAAATGTCCAATAAAAAATAGGTATGTTGTTAAAAAAAAAAAAAAAATAAAAGCAACAACCTAATAACTGACATTCAGCTTCTATGGAAACACATCTTTAATTTCTATGATCCTACTCTACAGTGTTTGCTATGGCCTCATGTATCTTAGGTAGAAAGGGTAATCTTGTAGAACTGTTGTTTTGTCACCATTTGTGGTTTACTGTGTTTTTTTTTCTTAAAGAAAAATGATTAATTATATGTTTTTCTTATTTCATTTTATTCATAGGGCTACCCAGGTCCTCCTGGAGCTCCAGGACCCATGGGCCCACTTGGATTACCTGTAAGTATAGAGCTGACTTGTGGTGCTTTCTTGACTGTGCACTTTAATTTAAATTCATCGCTTTGTTGTGCCATCTTTTTGAGTCTCATTTAAATCAGCGCTGTATAAGATAATCTCCACTGCTTTCCTCCCAAACCATATGAACATTCTGAAATATTTCTTGGTATCTTGAGTTTCCTTAACCCTACTATGTATAGTAACCAATTTCAGTTCTCGAGCCTAAACTAAAAAGGGAAAAATTAATCTTCCTTTTGAAAGAAAATAGAATCAGTAACCAAAATACAGCTGAGAGCCAAGGAATTAACAAAACACAAGGAGTTATTTTAAAATGTTTTTCTTAAATTTCGCAAATACTCTCAAACAAACAGTTAAAATTCATAGGAACTGTGCTTTTGCTTTTGCTAACATGAGCTTTGAATATATTCCATCTGTTGTTTTCAGAAAGATAATTAAATTTTTCCCCTAAAGAGAAAGCATTCCCTTGTCAAGGTTTGACAGTTATTGTGGACATGAATCTGAAGATGTTCAGCCTCTGTGGTGTCTGGGCAGAATTTCTCTTCACAGAAATTATTTCCATTCAATAAAGGAAGGTGATTTCATAGTATATTCATAAACATACTGTTTACTTCTAAAACAAAAAAGACTAGAGCATAGCTGTCCATCTCTTCACTCACAGAAAAGAATGAGTTAACTTGAGACCCTAAAATTTGCCCCATTTTTTATCTATATAAAGTTCATAGCCAAACAGAAGACAAGGGATTGAATTAACAAGAAGACAATGTTAAATTAAAATCTTGGTGCCAGGATCAACACAGAGCATTGTCACTGTCATTACTCTCAGTGACAAAAAGGAAAAACCTGGGAGCTGAATACGACACATACTTTGGTTCCAGGACCCAGAACATCAATCTCAAATTGACCAGAAAGTCCCTGCTGGCTTGCTTTCATAGCGTTTGCAGGTGCTATGTGGGTTGCTGATGGAGAAAAGAATCAAAGGTCTTAACCAAGTCTAGGCTTTGCCAACCTACCAGGCAATCTGTACCCACCAGTGCAGTAGTGATGTCGTGGTTTGTGGGGGACCAACTGCTTTTTGACTGTATTTGAGGTCTGCTGACAGGAGGGAATTCATGTCTGATATTGTAAACCTGATCAAAAACCCAAGGCTGTGAATATCACATGTCCTACTGAGGGACCTACTTTATTGTGTGGCTAAATGATTGTATTGTCAAGAATTGCCTTCTATACATTTCTATACATAGCCATAACTTTGTGCTATACTCTACTAACTCTTTATAGGAGATTGTAATACATCATTAAATCTGCTTTTAAAATAGCAACTTAATTTTCATTTTTGATACATTAATTTAAAATCACTTATAATATTATTCATGGGTTCAGAAAATATACAGATTTTATACATGGGGTTATAACAGATATATTTGATAAAAGCAAAGAAATTGTAACAGTAATAGCCATTGCTTCTCTGATGGGCTGGGGATATTAGACTGGTTTAACTGGCTAAGAGAATCTCTCCTTCCTCATTTCCTTTGAGTTCCTGAACACTGTTTGTTTAATGGATATTAAACCCTTCCAATTCATTTCACCCATAAAAGGCACTTATCCAAAGAGTGAAATATTTTGAAATCAGAACACTGGGGAGGGACACATGGTATTGATTAACTAAAATGTATTTGTAGGGAAACAACACATGCTATTTATTAATTAAAATATATTTGTAGGGAGACAAATAAATTTCATTTTTAAAAATCAATTAAAATAAATGTCACATAAGAAAGTACAGATACTATTCTAGTAATAATGTTATGAATTTGATATCGAGTTTTTACATTTTCAATATGTAGGGTCTTGTTGGGACAAGAGGCGCACCTGGGAGTCCTGGTCCTAAAGGACAAAGAGTAAGTAACGAAAAATTATGTTAATCTCAAAAAAGTCATCTCATAGTGATGTGTTTGACAAAGCCAGCTCTACACAGTCTAGAATTATACTTACGTGTTGGATTTTTGCTGTTTTTATTCTGTTATATGAACTACCTATAGCAATTTAAATATAAATAATAATACAACTAATATAAGTACGTATTATAGTTATATATTTGACACTTATAAAATGTTATAAAATACTTATAGAAATATAATTAATACTTATAAAATCATGCTTCATTTTAATTTTCACATATTACAAAATCATAGGGTTCTTTTTTCTTATTCCCAGTCTCTCTTTTCATCCTGTAGGAGCATTGTAAATATCTTTAAATAAATTACACTTCTATTCACAACGGATTTATATACCATGAAAAATGATAACAAAATAAAACAGTAATGAATAGAATAAATATATACAAGATGAGTTAGTGCTCATCAACTATAGATCAAAGGTATTTTAGTCATTATCATGTAATAACTGATATGTGCAGAAAATATGCAAAAATATTTATCTACCAAGTTGTCTCTTAAACATTAACACTTTTTATAAAAGCATCAGGCCACCACGTATATACCTGTCACATGTGCTTTACATATATTGTCCTGTTTGATACTCAGAGCCATGGTAAGAAGGCACGGCACTGTGTCACAGATATTATAACCAAGGAATTATAACCAGGACCCAAGGAATATGATCCTCAGAGACAGAGAAATGTCTCAACTATATTCAGGCCTTGATGTGTCCTACTCCAAAGCCAATGTTGATTAGATGCCGCATAGAATATTAAGCAAACTTTTCCTCATCTGAACGTGTGGCTTTAAGGGCAGCATTTCATGCAGTGCCCTTCACTTGGCTTAAACTTTAGAGCTACTGGAGGCTATTTTTTAATTCTAAAACTTGGTCTCTAAATAATAAAGACTGTTAAAATTGAAAAATAATAAAGATGAAAGCACTGCAGCTTCCCAGTTGTAAAACTGAGAGAGAGTCTTGAGGACTCCCAGTTGGAGAACAGCTTTGATTCTGTGTCTTGTGTAGTAGGTGAGGACCAAAGGTGAGACCTTTGTCTTTATTATTATTTTATGAAAAACTATTTTCCTTCCTGGCTTTTAGAGTGGCTGTCTGCAATCATCAGTGATAGTTGGTTCATCTTAGCATAAATAAACTTAAAACTAAGAGAGAAGGGATCTGTGCTCTGTCTTTTGCTGCTTCCTGCTGGCCAGGACTCAGTTCTTGGTGAGGTCAGACATGTTTATTCAGTCTAGTGTGAGTCACAGTGAGAAGGCACAACGGCTTGTGGCAGGTGGATTAAAAATAATACTTATCCCAACCTTCTGTTAGTTAAGTGATTTAGGTCTCAGTGACTCTCAGGCAAATCCATGTCCCTAACCGTGGTACATGCTGAACCACTTGAACGATCTCATAAATCCCATTGCGAGTTCATGTGCTCTGCAGTTTTCTAACTTCACTGGGACCATGAGTAGCTTCCTGCTTTCCTGACGTGTCATGTCGCCCTCATCTCTCACATCTCTGAGCCTTTCCATCATTTTCCAGATACAGTTTCCTGACTCTCTTCAAATGGTGCCACACAACTTTCAACCACGTCACTCAGGAGTTTCTGCAAACGGAAACTTTGTTAGGGGAGGAGAGTGTCTTTCTTCACTAGGAGGATATTATTAATGGTAGACTTTATACAAAACGTTTAACTGAATGGGCTGGAGAGATGACTCATTTGTTAAGAGCACTTGATGCTCAGTCATGAGAACTAGAGTTGTGTTGCCAGCACCATGTCAAGTAGCTCACAGCTGCCTGTAACGCCAGCTCCAGGAGGTCCAGTGTCCTCTTATGGCCTCCACAGACATTGGAGATACACACACACACACACACACACACACACACACACACACACACACAATTGATTTGGCCTATTGAGATAAGTTGGAAAGGTGTCTGGCTCCAAGATCTTGGGTTCATCCTCAGGCACATCCACAAAGATGAAGAGATTCAATACTCTGGCACACCTGTCACTGCTTTGTGTGACAGGACCCTGAAGGGAAACTCTACTCTTGGGGACATACATTCTGAGTCCACACAGAATGATCTAATGCTTATTCACTTTTCCTATTTTGTCTAGGATTTATACTGTTCTCAAATGGTCATACAAATACCATGAATGGTAGGGCCATCCCTGGGCGGTTCTGCCTTCTGATAACCTACAGTATATCTAACCAACCTGATTTCTAACAGTTCATATAACACTTAACTAGTAACCCAGAGGATTCTTTGTCAACTACCCTTCAGTTTCACACCACAGTGGGCTTTCCAATTTTGTGACTTGACTTATGGTCTTGATACTGGGAAATACTATGGAATACTAAAATCTACCAAGGGAAAGGACAATCAAAGCAGGTCACAATATCAACATCTAGAAAGTAAGGTAAACATAATAGTATCATGAAAATGTTTCTAACTTGCAGTGGGATGATTGTATATTCATGGCATTTACAAAGCTGCATAGAGTAACAAGATAAGTATTAAAATGTAGTCATAAATATATTAAATTGTTATTTAAACGCCCTTTCTATTTAAACATTAAGTATATTAAACATTAAACATCTTAATCTTTTCCTAGCTGGCATGTTTAGCTGGAGAACAGTTAGGTAAAGAGACATTATTTAATATACTAAAGCTACTTCATGCAATTCATAAAATGCGTTCTTTTGAGTAGGTGATATGAGCTGACAGATTTGCTACTCTAGCCCAGATGATGGAGGCTTGGCCTGACGGGCAGCTAGGTGTCAGCACAGCCTGAGCCGTTGCCGTTCACATACAAGTTGACACTTTGGGGATTACTGATAAAAGGACCCTTTGACGCCTGCCAGTATTTCCATCTGTGTCCAGCTGCCCGACAGGAGAAATGATTTGAGCAAAGCAGGATCACCTACACATGTGGGCTGGAGTTAAATCCGTGAGCACAACCCTCTTTTAAATTCCACCCTCTTTCTCTAGAGCCTTGGTATAGAGAGGCAGGCAGCCAGCAGATTTGGTACTGAGACCATTCTATTTAAGATTGGGATGCAGTAGAGGGGTAACTTTGTTAGAAATGTGCAACAATTTAGGGTTTTCTCTCCAACAGTGACACTTATGTGGTGATTAACACTCTGCAAATTGGTCCCTTCGAGGGGCTGCGTGTCACTTTAAGGTAAAGTGGCTTCGGTAGCATTTGTATTTAGGATCAGTGCTAGGCAGTAGCTAAAGTGTCTCTAGTGATAGACGCTTTTCCCTCTGCTCTGTCCAAAGTTTACAGCAGGGACCTTTCCTCGGGAGCCCTGGCAGTGTTGGTTTGCGTCAGTGGATCACTTGGTTCTGGCTGTGTAAAGCAAGGGCCAGAAAAAGATTGCTTGGCATCGTGAGTCAGGCGTGTGAGTGAGTTGAAAATTAATAGGGGTCATATCAAGATTCAGATCTGACTTTGAGAACATATAAGTACACCGAGTCCATCTGTCTGTGGATACAGTTATTTCCTTCATTCATGGACACTCAGTCTGCCATAACCTATCACGGAGGCCATAGAAACGGGCTCAGGGTTCTTATAAAAGTCTTCCTAAGTAAATCAAGCATACAGTATATGTTAACATTTTAGTTGACTGTAGGTTTCTTCTTTTAATTTAGTATTTATATCAAACAGAAGGCCCGTAGCCTGACACCCAATGCATTATATCACAAATTGCTCAGTCCTGAGTCTGGCTAAGTCTTTGATGAATTTACCTATGTTTCAAATATGCAATATTTCTTCAATGCTTTTCTTCAATGGAGTTGACGTATTCGATTCTCACTCTGGCTTTAAGAACCCTCTTCCAGCTCACTGCACCTAGCTTTGACATTCCTAACAGTACAGAAAAAAGCCTGGGTATTCTGTGTATGTACCCAGAAAATGACAAATCCAAAAGACACTTTCGAGCTGTTACTTTTTAAATATGATGCCAGATTACGTGCTTATTGTAAGACTGAATGTCTAATTCTCTTAGGCCTTGTTTATTTTTCCTCAGGAGTCACATCAGCAGTGAGGTTTATGTCTGCCACCACCAGAGGGAAACCTACTATGCTGCCGGGCTATGCCTCTAGCTCATTAGCGCACTCTTGCCTGAAGCATAGACAGTACCAGCCTTTCTTAGAGCAGGGCTCTCAAACTCTCACAACGTGACTTTCGCCTTACGATCTTACTGTGACCTCCTGACTTAGACGTGTACTTTCACATTGTATGTGGTTATTTTTTATCACTGAGAGCACAGAAATGAATATCTCTTGGTAAATGAAATAGTAAATGTAAAAACAAAAACTACAAAGGCCAGCAGAAGTTCAATGGTGAACTGCCTGCTAGAGGCCCTGATTTACCACCGGGATAATAACAACTGCACCAACAATAATCACTGTGAAACAGTTTTGCATAAGTGTGTTTTAATGCAAAACATTACACAAATGTTTTATATAAATTTTGCCTTAATAGGGAGATCCTCATGGGTCCTCCTGGGGTATTAGTGCTCCCTCCAAACCCTTGAGTGTACCTGGGAATACACTTAAACCAGGAATCCAGGAATCCAGCCTGGAGAGGCCTGTTGTAGCAAACAGCTTTGATAATAGAATTCTGGATCTTGGCACTAGAGCCAACACAGGGGCCCCTTCACCTCAGCACTTGACAGGGTCTCAAGATTGTATAGTTGTGCTGTATAGAAACCTTCTGCTTACCCATCACCCACTGGAACTATTTACTCTTTCTATGAAATCATAGAAATAAATTAAGTATTAAATAACTTTGCATTCCCTAGGTTCCATGATGAAGAAACTCACGATTATGTATCCACACAGCAATAGCTATCTCTTTTCTACAGTAGGTGCCCACGTAGAGGGTTTAAGACTTAAGTCCATTACAAAGCCCTTCGAGATATGTGTGCTTTAGAAAGCGAGACCTATCACTGTTTGAAAGCAGATGGCTTTCTCTGCAGATAACTCTTGAGTGGATATTGAGAAGATTTGCCACAAGTGCTTTCTATACCTGTTCTGAGCCCCTGCCATCTTCCAGTAGCTGCCGTCCAGTGGGCACATAGCAAGTGCAGTGTCCTGAACATTCATCTTCTAAAAATGCAGAGAGAAGAACAATTCCAAAATAATGAAACTTAAGAAGACTGTCTAGGTAAACAACCTGGGCTCTTTTAAGTTAACTTAGTCGTTTTATGGATAAATCCCACAGGACTTCTAAGTAAAAATATAAAATAATCAGCTTAGGTTAGAAACACCTCAGCAACTCTTATAGCTAATTCTGTACTTACCTTATTCTGTGGCATAAATTCTTTAAAACTTGGACTTGGTTTTATTTGTTATTAAGAAGAGCATTTCAAATTAACAATGGGATATTTTCCTTCTACCTGTAGGGACCCAGAGGACCAGATGGCCTCGTGGGGGATCAAGGTGGACATGGTGCCAAGGTACTTGCTGATTGACCATCTCCTGTGCAGTTAAATTTGGCAGAGTCGTTGTCTTGTATATTTAAATATTGATGTATTTCCTTCTACCGCACAGTTTTAACACACACCAGCCATGTTCTTTTTAATATTGAACTGTCTACTTGATGTCCTGTTTTCTCTGTGGTACCATGTAAGACCATGGCTCAAATTCTGACCAATCCATGTGATCTTAATATTTTACTAGGGTGAAAAAGGAAACCAAGGAAAGAGAGGGCTTCCTGGTCTTACCGTGAGTAGCAAACCACATCTCCTTACCCATGAACATTCTGATGTTCTCCCTTGTGCTATTTTGAGAAGGGCTGTCTGACCTAAGCATTTTGTCTCTCATGTGTAGGGTAAGGCTGGAAACCCTGGGGAGAGGGGAGTTCAAGGAAAACCAGTAAGTTTTTGTCTTTAATGTGTTATTGCTTTTAATAATCGAGCTGATATGACAATTGTAACTCTACTTTACTCTCACCATAATTGTTGTTTCTCTAAAACTCCTCTCAAAAGAAATGATGTGATGCGTAACTGTAATAGGACCTGACAATATCATACAAGAAGCTTCCGGAGCCTCTCTCCAGGCTTCATCCTAACTTACCTTGGGTGCCGTTTTTGTCTTCTGTGTTGCAGAGTCACGTGTATCTTGTTCTCTCGTTACACTACTGTAAGAGTCTGAGTATTTTATAGCGCTAGACATTTTCCTACCACCTAACATCTTACTAGACTTGAACAGATTTTCCTCTGGGCATCAGTAATTTCTGTGGTCATCATCATGAAAAAGGAGAGAAAGATTGAAAAAATGCATATATAAACATTCACATATGATGATCACATAAACGACCACTCAGCTTACACATATAAATAAGTTTAATTGCTTTCATTCTGAATCATAATGTTAGTCAAACTCTGATTTGTCATATAAATATATCTTATGATTAACATCTAAATAATTTGAAAAAGTCTATTGATTAGAGCTGGGGAGTTAGAAAAGACCAGGATGTAGGGGTTTCAGCTGGTGGTGTTTGTCACCTAGAACAATGTTTGCTTGTTCCTGTTTGAAATCTGCTGCCCCCTGCCTGTTGTCTTTCATTATAGCAATGTATTTGACAGCAGTCAAATCTAAAATACCAGAGATTTGAAAGAAAAGTAAATGACTGTCCTGAAAAAAGAGGTGTGTTTAGCCTTGTGCACTAACCGAAGGAGTTCTCAGAGAGCACCCTGCGTGTCTTCATATGTATCATGTTTTAGTCATTACAGTCAGGGTTAGCAATGCTTCTGTAGATTCTAACCACTTTGCTATCTATATTGTGGGCAAGGCTGAGCTCAACCGTATTCCTTTAATTTAAATAAAAATGAGGCTCACAAAAATAGGATTACTCATTATGTATACTGTTGACCTCTCTTAGAATTTTATCCTCCCTTTCTGCTTAGACAAATGAGACATCTCCTCAATCCCATGAAAGGTACTAGGGTTATTTTGCAACTGTCTTACAGCACGCAAGTCCTGTGGTCTCCTGGAAGGGTAAAGCCATTTTAAAAGATGTCACAGCTTAGAGAGAAAGTGATGAGTTTGTGATGACTGTTGAGATTTATGAAATCTTTGCCCACATTTTTCTTCCTTAAATGAAATGAAATTTTAGGGAAGCAGGGAACATTTCATTTGAAAAGCACCAAAGATTCACATTATCTTTCAGAGTAACCTTATAGTCTCTAGTCTTTTGGGTAGTGTCAAAAGTAGGCAATCCTCTGTAACACAGAGACATATTAGAGATCAGACGGCTTTTCTTGCATGCTCTGAAAAACGGCACAACCTTGCTTTAGTAGGTTGGCTATCTAGAGCATATTCTATTCACCCTTGAAATGAAGAAACTAATAACAACTGCCCCCTGCTTATTCCTTCTCCTTCCCTCTGTCTCCCTTCCCCCGCCCCGTAGAGACTGACCCAGGGCCTAAGTGCATGCTCTACCACTGATCTATTAGAGTCCCAAGAACCCAGACTGTCAGAATTATCAAAACAAATATTAAGTGAATCAAATAATAAACATGGTACTTTAATAATCCAGACAACCAGGAAGTGTACTTATCTATGGACCAATTCTCTTCCCATCCACCTGTAGATCTGATCTAAAAGTCAAAATCAGAAAGTTCATGATCCAATGGCTTTCTGGGGTCATGGAGCTTGGGAGGCTGTATTTGATCATCTAAATCATGAAAATTATAGCATTTCATACATTACCAAGTTTTCAATGAAAGCATCCTTTCAATTGATGCCAGATGCATAAAGATCTCTCTGATCCTGTTTGTCTCTCTTTTTTCCCTTTCATTCTTTCTAATGTTCCTTCAAGTAGCTTGAAATTCTATTATAACTTTGTTTAATCTTGACTAAGTTTTCTTCCAGTAATACTGTTTTGGCTTTGCTTATTGTGAACATTCATCTTGCTAGCTGTCGCAGGCTTGCAGTTTGTCTGATGTGTTCTTCTTGCTAATTTTCTTTTAACCCAGCTGGTCTTGTTATTTACCTAGAACATATTCTAGTTGGATCTTGCCTTTTGGTCTGATAATCTCTGTCTTTTAATTAGAGTATTTGGTCCATTTCTATTTAATCTTACTGCTATGATTGGACTTAGGTCTACTATCTTGTTCTTTACTATTCTGTGTTTTGTTCAGGGCCTTTTGTCTGTAAATTATATCTTAAGTTACCTATTGACTTTTGATTTGTATTCCTCATTATTAACTAAAGTAGTTATTCTAGGTCAGGATCAGTAAACTTTTCCCATAAAAAGCCAGCAAGGAAGCATTATATTCCAGAGTATATATGTAAAAATTTGCAGACCATAGGATTCTTTATTAACATGCCGTCTGTATATTGTGGTTATTTTACATATTACATCCACATGCATTCTGAAACTTCACTGTAAACAAAGCTGTTGTCTGAACATTAATAAAATTGTGTTTTCTTTAATATAAATCAGTTGTGTGCTTTCGAGCTTGGTGTGAGGAGATCAGCTCTCTGTCCATCTTCTCGTTTGCCATTTCTAGTGACCTTCCTTCCTTCGTGAAGGTTTAAATGGCTGAACATTGTCATTTCCCTGGAGCTTATGAAACATCTCCTAAGTTCCTTTTAGGAGAGTCTGCTAATGGTGAATTATCCTTTGAATTGTGTAACTTTTTTCACCTTTAATCCTGAAGGCAGTTTTCAGTGTATATAAAACTCTAGGTGTCATTCAGCACCATAAAGAGGCCATTGGGAGAGAAGGTCCCTGAAGGGAATACCTTTATGTATTTCTGTCATTATCTCCTTATGGAGTGGGTAACAGTGTATGTCTTGTATTTACACGTGTTGTTGGTCAAACAACACTTACTTTTATGTTTTGGCTTTGTATAAGTTACTCTACCTTTTTGAGTCTCTGTTTATCTATGTTTAAAAATGAACATCTGAGTGGGAGGAATTGAAGAGATGGGTCAAGGGTTATGAGCACATGCTACTCTTCCAGAGGATCTGAGTTTGATTACAGGCATTTACACAAGGGGACTCACGACTTCCTGCAGTTTCAGCTCAGAGGGATCAAATGCCCCCTACTGGTCTCCACAGGTAGCCACACATTCATGTTACACACAAACACGCACACACACACACAAATAATAATAATAATAATATCAACAACAACAAGAAAAGTGAAACTTTCATGGCTATAAATAGACACAGCAGTCTTTGTTATTCTCATGGCTATTTGTTCCCATAATTCCTGAGTTGAAGCCATAGAGTAGTCAGTTCTGCTACAGAGTCATATATCATTAATAACATCTGAAAAGCCTTAAGCAGAATTTTTATTTTAAGCCAATTTGTACTTTTCCTCTTAATCCTCAATAAAAATAGAGAACATGGAAATTAAGTCCTTGATTTGCAAAACGACCTCTGTGCAGAATCCACAGTATTAATGGAAATACTAAGTTGGTTCTGTGTCCAAACATGCTTTACAGAGCAAACTGAGAAGACGCCACTTAAAGGTCTGCACTTCCATTACACACTTCGTTTAACACAGCAGGCAGGCAGAGGTCTTCGTATTGATCCTGTCTACTAATTTAGGAGCCTGAAGTGAATGAAGAACATATGATTTCCAGAACTGAAACAGAGCTTTAGCCACAATAAGTAAATGAATATAATTTTAAAATGAAAAAAATGGAGTTTTGTTTTCTCTTACATAGAACTAAAATATAACCCATCAATTCTGTGTCTAACATATGCCCAAAGCAATGAAAACCCACGACTCACATATTGCACACCCGTGTTCACAGTAACATGCTGACAATAGCCAAAAGCTGGAGAAACCTAAGTGACCTCTGACAGATGAATGAACAAAATGTGGTTTGTGCATCAATGGGAATATTTTCCCCTTTAAAAAGGATGTTTTGACACAAGCTACAAGGAAACCCTGAAGACATTCTACGCTGTTAATAAGGCAGACACACAAGAGAACAAGTGTCATACAGTCTCACTTATAATTACCTAAACAGTAAAATTCATGGAGACAGACATAGTTACAGGGAAAGTGGCAGCAGGAATAAGTGAATTATTGGCAGAATCTCAACTGGAAAGATGAAATGGTTCTGGAGATGGATGGTGGACATGGTTGATAAACATTGTGGATCTATTTAATGCTAAAGAATTATATTCTTAACTGTGCTCATGATAAATCTTATATACAAAGAGAAAAACATGAGGAATACATAGAAAAGACCCTACAAGCAGAGGCAGGTGTGTAAACTAGCTAAAACACTTTTGGATATGCTTCTTTTCTACAAATTTCTCATTTGTTTGTCAAGGGCTTACAAGGACTCCCTGGCAGCTCAGGAGAGAGGGGCCCTGCCGGAGAACCAGTAAGTTTCTTTATGTTCTTCTAATTGTGGCTTTCCTTTGAGGTCCATTTTCTTTTCATGACTGTCTACAGTGTTGAAGTTGGCTTGCTTTAGAAACAGTATCGACCCTAGATAGCAAAGACAAAGTCTAAAGAATGGGCATTTTACTGTATCAATTCTGCTGGATACATACATACAAACAGATAAGCATACATACATGCATGCATGCATACATACATACATACATCATACATACACACACATACATACATTCATAAATAATACATGTGTGTGTTATTATAGTTTTTGTTGTTATTATGGCTCCATGTAGTCAAATTCAGCGCTTTTCTCTGTGACTGTTATAAGGGACGTATTTCTGTTTTTGGAGTAAGAAAACTTTTAGTGACACTCAGAAATGCTCTTTCTAGATGGCCTGCAGTTCTCATAATTGGTACATTGCCACACACAGAGTCAACAGCTCTATAATGAAAGCCATGTAGTGAAGCCAGTCTTTGTATCTGATTGGCCTAAATCTGCAAATATGATAGAAATGCCTTTACATCAACAGTACAACATATGCCACAGTTCCATAGCTGTAATCCAGTTCTGGAGTTTCAATGGAAAGTGCATTGTGCAAAGGGGAAAACTCCACACACTCCTTCCTCACAGCTTAGCCTTTATTGCCAATGAAATCATTCTTTCAGGCAATCATGGCAGATGTCAGATGCTGTAATGTGCTTCTCAGATTCATAACACAATATGGTCTTTGAGCCACTGGGTTGATATTATCACCAGTTGACACACAGTTTGCAGGTGGCCTTTGCGTAATTTAGTTAGTAACAAGTGGAAAAGATTACCAAAGAATAAAAGGTTAACACTCAACCTATGACATAAGCTCATTGAACAATGAGGGCTCACAATGTGTGTAGTTCTTGCCTGATAAATATCTAAGATGTGACATGAACTTTGCATAGCTAAGCCCTTGATTTGCTCTCTGTTTTATGTGCTTCAACCTGCTGTGCCTTCACTAAAGTTGATTTGCCCTGAAATAGTACAGTACACTTTTGCACAGCTTGGTTAAGTCTCTGAAAACCCCACAAGCCGGAGACCGTTTCTTTACCTTTGCTCTCTCTTTTGCTGGTACAATGCCCAGCAGATTCCATTTACTCAATGTGTGTTGGTTAAACTGAATAAACAAAGGGTCATGTACCCAAAGCTATCTGGGACACAGCAAATAGCATTAGACTGGGGAACTGGTATGAAGAACAATTGGATTTAATTAGATAAAAATGTCATCGAGCCATGGTCACAGTGGAGACAAAAATCTTAATATTTAAATGAGGAAATACTTCTGCTTTAAACTGATATAAGTAAACACTTCTTAGCAAAATGACCTAGTAGTGCTTAAAATGTCAATGAGAAGGTCATGGGATCATGGAACTGATAAATAAGATATAAACCAATTTATAATGGATTAACATATTTGTGTCGTATATTTGAACTAATGCTTCAATCATAGAAATGAGGGAAAGTAAGCACAAAAAACATATTTTATATTTAAAAAATAATATGATAAGAACTGCAACCTTTCTATCGCCAAAATTTAAAACTTTTATCTCCATTGTAAGACAAGCATTGCTATTCAATAGGTAACCATTCATTCCGGTTCACTCAGCAATTATTTATTAAGAATCTGCTCTCAGTGTTTAACAGCAAGCATAATGTTTCCAGTCTAGTGATAGATACGTTATCGATTAAATAATTACATGTAACAATAGATGATTGTGAATTGAGATAAATACCAGAAAGTATAGTCAGAGCTCAGTCCCCATAGGGGAGCAGTTCAGTGCTCAGTGGCAGTCTGTGGGTGCTCAAAACCCTTGTAGTAAATGGAATAGCCTCTTCTCATCACCTATTTATTTCTTCCTGTACACTTTAAATCATCTCTGAGCTATTTATAATACATAGTAAAATATAAATCCACATAAATAACTGCTATAGTATATTGTTTAAGGAACACTGTGAAGAAGAAAATGTCTGTATGTTTGACGTAGACATTTTTCTCTCTTCTGTATTTGATTAAATCCATGAGTGCAGAACAGATAGAGACTTACGTAGGAATTCAGACTTGGAGGATCTATGATAAATACGCTGTCATGATCTAGCGGCTCAAGAAAGCCTCCATGAGCAGAACCATGTGATCTGACAGGAAAGTTTTAGTTGTTTCTGCCAAGATGAGGAAATCTTGTTCCAGAACTAGAGGTTCCGCAACATGGCTAAGACAGTTGGACAGAAAGAAGGTATAACACAAGACCAGAAAGGGACATACTGACCACACACACACAGCTCTGTGCCCCCATCCCAAAGGATTTGTCCAGTTATCTTAAGGACTGGGGGGGGGGGAAGAACAGTGATCAGATTATAAATATTATCAAACTACATAGATGAAGGAGTCAAGAGCCAAGATCCAGATAAGATGCAGGCAAAAGTCTGATAAGCAGGCAAGAAAGAAGTGGAGAGAAGGAAAAGATTCCAAAGATGTTTTTAAAAGCAGTGGGAGAGACAGTGCCTGTTTGTGAGTGTCATGCCCGAGTGTCTGGCTTCTTGCATTGAATATCACTCATTGGAGCAGGAACACAATTGAAACCCTGGGCTGGTGAACTGAAGGTTCCAGCACTGAGTAAGGAATATGAGATGCCTTCAAGAAACGTTACAAGTGTCGGCTGGATTCAGATCAGAGGAAGGCACTAAAGTGAGAAATGTGAGATTTGGGGCTGGAGATGGCTCAGAAGTTAAGAGCACTTGCTGCTCTCGAAGAAGATCCACTTCTGCTTCTCAGAAACCAGAAAGAGTGTGGCAGTCCCCAGCCAAGCCACCTGCCACTCCAGCTGCACGGCATCTCTGCCCTCCTCTGGCTTCAGTAGGCACCAGATATACATTTGGTTCACGTATATACATGAAAGCATACGCTCAGAAAGACATAAACATCAAATGCCCAGAAAGACACAAACATCATTGCTTGGAGACAGCAGGGATGAGAGAGAAGAAAAGTTCTTTCAAAAGACATGATAGGACCAACAAGATGACTCAGTGGCTAAAGTGCCTAGCCTGCTGCTAAGTGTGGCCACCTGAGTCTGATCCCAGGGACATTCATGGTGGAAGAAGAGGGAGGAGAAATTACACCCGTGTGTTACCCTCTGACTTCCATTGGTGCTTTGTGGCAAGACACATACACACACACACACACACTACAATAAGTAAATAAATATAAATAATAAAAAAAAAGTAATGAGAACTGAGCTTAGTGTCAGTTGGTACTCCTTTTATTCTACAGAGGTGAACTTTTTATTCTACAAAATAGGACACATATTCCAAAGAACTGAGCATAAAGAATGGGTTTTATAGACAAAATAACCTAAGTAAATCAGAAACAAAGAGCAAGGGAGACCTGGGAGCTTCCAAACCAATGTCATTGTAAAGTGAGGCAGACAGTCACAGAGAAGACGCCTGATCTTGGTGGGTCAAAGCTGGAGGAGCATCAGTACAGTGCTGACTGAAATGGGCTTGCTTGGAGATTAGCATTCCTGCCTGACTCCTCAGAAAGTCGGGAGTGCTGAGCCTTCTTTGGTTCCTTGTTGCTGCTGCTCTTCAGCATTTGCATTTCAGTCTGTCTGTCCTGTTGGGGCTTAATGAGAAGTCTTGATCCCAAACAATGACTTTCTCCAGTGACTTTTGTAGTGGATGGAAGGCTGAAGTTAAGTTTTAAAGTTTTCTATGTGGGTAGAAAAGAATAGGAACACCAAAAGTAAAGGGTAAACAAATGAGGCGAATCAAATATACATTGGAAGTTTCAGACTTGCCTTAGTATGTTGGAGTAAGAGACAGGCTGTAGCTGGCAATCCCGTCACTGTTTTAGAGATCAAGTGCCCTTAAAACAGCCACACTGTGTGGCTCCTTCAAGCTGTGACTACAGCAACATGGAGCGGCTTAGACAATGACCACGTGACCCACAAACCCCCAAATACTAGCTGACCCTCCAAGGAAAGTTTAGTGCCCATTAACTTCTGGTCTCATTTGGTCCTTCAGGCTCTCTCCTGTTCTCTGTAGCCTTTGCTAAATCCCATAATGGAGAGCAAGTGTGGGGACAAGGACTCCTGCAAATGTAACGCAAATACCCAGGAACTGGGACATTTCATAGGAATAAAGTAAACTTCTATACATGCCGGGAGAGACCAAACTTTCATTCAGTAACAGAATAGACATTATACTGGAACTCACATAAAATGTGAGCCAAGATAGACCACATTGTGGGCTAAAATGTGCATCTTAACAAACTTCAAAGAGTAAACATAATACAATGTGTGCTCACAGACCATAGCAGCATTAAGTTAAAAATTAAAAATAAAGGCATGGTGATAAAAACACAGTTCTAAATAATGTACTGATGAATGATGCAACTTCCTGCCAGCAACATGGCTTAGCACACAGAAGTGCACAAGATGAATGGTCTTAGTTTAGTCCCTGGAATCCACAGTGGAAGAGAAGCAGCCCCTTCCGGTGTTCTCTAGCCGCTACACTGTGATGCACATATACCCATTAACACATGTAACCATACACATGTGTGCACATGCACACACATAACAACCTAATGATAAAACTCAGAGGAAAAAACTCATTTGATACCATTGCAAAATTAAAGTGAAATTACAGCCTAAAAAATTGTGGATTTGAAGGAAATTTGCCACATAAATTTTAGAGATGTGGAAGAGATAGAACAGGTACCCTTGCTCTTCCAGAGGACCTGAGTCAATTCCCAAGGTCCACGTGGCAGCTCATGACTGTCTGTAACTTCAGACTCAGAGGATCCAAAACCCTCACAGAGACATACATCCAGGCAAAACACCAATGCACGTAAAATTAAAATAAAAGGGTTGTTCTTTTTTATTTTAGAAAATATTAGAAACAAATAGTTTCAAATAGTCTAAACTTCCACTTGGAAACAAGAGAAGATTGAATATAGATTGAGGATAATAAGGCATGTGATAGATAGAAAAGACAAAAACTATTTCAAAAAATCAATGAACCCAAAGCAGAGAAAATCTCTCAATGTCTGGGCAGAGTAATCAAGATACTAATAAGAAAACACAAACTACTGATACCAGAAATTAGATAGAAGCCATCGCTACTGATTGCATACACATTAAAAGGGTGAACAGTTCCTATATCTACAAACTCTGTCACTCAGACATTAATCGGCTATTTAAAAGACTATTTTAACAGAGCTCACATAAAGATCATTTGTATATATCTATGTGAGTTAGCCACTTAACTCAATAATTAATAACTTTACAAAGCAGAAAGCACAGTGCTGATGATCTCACTGACTAAGTCTATTAAACATTTAGCAAACAAATGGCAGAAATTCTGTATAGCTTGAGATGGGGGAGCTTCTTCCTGGCTCATTCCAAGAGGCCAGAATTATTCCAGGACCAAAACCAAACACATAGGTTATAGGGAAAGAAAAGCACAGATAAGCTCACTCAGGAACATAAGTACAAAATCCTCAGCAGAATGTAAGATCAATCCAATACCATTGCTTGTACATCATGACCAAGTAAGATTTATTCCAGGTATGCAGGGAAGTTTAATATTCAGAAATGTATGTAATCCATCAACTTAATAGTCTAAAGAAGAAAATGCAATGTCATAAATACATCCAGGAAAACTATTTGACAAATTCCCATATCCACTCATGCTAAAAAATAAAATACAGATTCTCAACAAATTTGGAAAAGGAGGGAAATCCTTATTCCAATTTCCTATGAAGAAAAGCCTTATGAGAAAATAACCTTAAAGCCAGAAAACTGAATACAGTTCCTTACATGCATGCAACATATCATTTGGCAAATAAAAAAAAAAGTAAGAAAAGAGCCATCAAGTTAAAATATTTGTAGACAAGCCACAAGTGCATGGTGTTGAATGAAAGAAGACAAACTGGAAAGCTTTGCACTATGACATTCTGGGAAAGGCAAGACTATAGAGACAGGGGAAAACACATATTTGTCCTTTAAAATATTTTTGTCATGTATTTGCCAGGGTTCTTAAGGAGATATATGACTGTCACACATAGTAAATAAGGTACATTGTGAAAGCCCTTAGCACATGCTCTAGTTGCATTTCTGTGACAGTGATAGAGCATTGTGACCAAAATCATCATAGGAAAGAAAGGTACATTTCAGCTTATAGACTGCAGTCTGTCGCTGGGGACGTCAGGGCAGGACCTGGAAACAGAAACTGTAGAGGCATGCTGTTTGCTGGCTTCATTACAACGTTATGCTCAGCTTGCTTTCTGAGCCCTGGACCACCTGCCTAAGGAATGGTGCCGCCCACAATAGTCTGAGCTCTCCCACATCAACTAATGATCAAGACAGCCCCCCACAAACGTGCCCACAGTTAGAGATAGCTAGGACTGCACAATATTTGAAAACTGTTAGGTATTTGACAAATGTTTGTCAAATGAATGAGTGAACCAAAGAATAAAATGTAACAGTACCCCTTGCTCTATTTTTACTTTGAGTACAAGCATAGTTTAGCATCATTCATGAAGCAACACAGATGAACCAACCAAAGTTAAAATTGTATTTATACAAAGAGCAAAGTAATATGTCAGTCAGATACTATTTATTAAAATGAAGTTGAGATGTGTTGTTTATTAAAAGAGTAAACTTTGATTCTCATATTTTTAATTTGTTTGAATGTAGGGACCCCGAGGCCTGCCTGGTGATGTTGGACTTCCTGGAGAGATGGGTGTGGAGGTAACATTTTGTAATTCATTCAAAATTTTTGAATCAACGTGTTTTATAAAACAAGGTGAATTGAATAATTGAGTATATGTCATGGAGAATGGTTTTATAGAATTTTCTTTTATATTTAGAAAATAAAACCTAAAACTATATAAAAGGCAGAAATAATCAATGTGTGGAGATAATTTCATACAGACAAAGTTCTCCTCTAAGAAGTAGTTCATCGAAATGTTGGGACCAAAAGTGAATAAAGATTTTCCTTCCCTGATAAGAGCTGACCTGACAGCTCTTCACTCTAAGAGGTGGCATCCTTTAGAGAATGGGGAGTTTTGCCATCCCCCTATTTACTGTATTATTTGGAATAATAAACCACATCTGTTTTAATTTTGAAATTCAATCACTTCATTTCTGTTTCTGACTTTAGTAGTAAAACCATACATTCCCTGCCCCCCCCCCACTTCCCTGGCATCTGTGAAAGTTATCTACCTCTCTGTCTGTCTGTCTGTCTGTCTGTCTGTCTCTCTGCCTCTGTCTCGGTCTCTGTCTCTTTCTCTGTCTCCTCACTTTATCTTCTCATTATCCTTTCTCAGACTCACGTGGAACTGCCCTTCCGCCTCCTCGGCTTTGCTGACTCAATCCTAATGTCAACATAAAAGCGCTAACTCCTATCTCTCTTCTTGAAGCACCCATTGACATCTTGATAGTCTTTCATATATCTATCCACCTAGATAGCCCATGAACGTCTCATGTGCAAATCCTGTGCACTCCTGTTCTTCTGTTTCTATATGCAAAGCCCATTACTTTCCTGTTCTTCCATTTCCATGAGCATCTCACTGAAAGATCCCATGATACTCAGCACACCCAACCTGAGAGTCATCCTAAGCTCGCCCTTCTCTCTTCAGTTCTCCTGCAAAAGCCTAACCTTCCACTTCATGCCATGTCTCTTCCGACTCCCCTCAGGCCCTCAGCTAATCATCACCAGTTTATGTTTCTTGCAACATTCTTGAGATTCTTTAAAAGTTGCAAGATCTTTACAATAAACATCCATCTCCTTTTTTAATTTTATGAACTTTATTATTTTAAAAAGTCTGCAAATAAAAAACTCGCACACCAAAATTAACTGATTTCTTAACACAATAATTTCTAAACAGTTCACTCCTCGTGGCTTGGGGGCACAGGTCCCCTTCCTTGGCTATGCCTCGCCTCTCACTGTGCTCTCAGCAGTGGATGCAAAAATGCAAGATAAGGTCCCAGACTCCTGTACAAGCGCATAATATACTTCAGAGTACAGTCAACATCAACAAGCATTACATTGCAGTGGGTCAGGCTCTGTGCTGCAGAAATTGACAGGGAAATATAGGAACAGAGCAGTTGATGCTTGACCCTGCCTGGAAGAAGGAAATAAGACATGCATATGGGAACATAAAAAATTAGATTGAAGCAGCGAGAAAGGAGCTTTAGTGAAAAGAGAAAGGACACTATGGATAAAAGAATCCCAGGAGGAAGGGGCATTAGGGAGATGCTCAGACTGTGGGGCTGTGTGGAATATTAACTGTCAACAGAGAATGGAAAGTGACCAGAAGGAAACCATGGAAAGTGATGTGTTTATCAAAAGATGAAGAGAGGATGGGATATGTTCTATGGAGGTGTGGTGAGGTGTGGGAGAAGGGGGTGCCTCCGTAGGCCGATGCCAAGGCATCTCTTCCCCCTGAGGGACCAGTCACATGACATAGAGTTTATTCAGGGCATGGGGAGGGGAGTTAAGAGGGTAGTAAAGGCAGAGAAACTCAGAGAGACTAGAGGAGTAGAGACAAAGAGGTCGGGCATGAGTATATGGAGAGAGAGGAGAAAAGGGAATGGGGATGGAGGGGGTAAAAGGAGAGGGGACAGAGCAGGAGCAAGAAGGCAAGAGAGTAAGAGAGAGAGGAGGGGGCAAGCAGCCCCTTTTATGGTGGGTCAGGCCTACCTGGTCAGGCCAGGTAACTGTGGGCTGGAGCTTAGACAGAATGCTCACAAAAAGTCTCAAGTACACTACTAAAAAGTTTGGCCTTTTTACCTTGGGATCTTATAAGTCATTATATAAACAAGGCAATAATAAAGTCAAATTCATATTTTGGAAAAATAGTTCTAGCAGCTGAATGAGAAATGTTTCTCAGCAAGTGTAAGGCTAGGTCTACCTATTAAAAGGGTTTTAAAGAGTGACATGTGAGCACACATCTGCAATCCTAGCACTTGAGACTTTGAGGCAGGAGGATTATTCTGAGCTCGAGGCTAGCTTGTGAAACAGTGAACTCTGGAACAGCTTGGGCTATGCTGTGAGATTCTGATAGAAGAAAAAGAGGAGGAAAAGAAAGAACGAGGGGGAAAGAGAGGGAGAGGGAGGGAGGAAGGGAGGGGGAGAGAGAGAGAGAGAGAGAGAGAGAGAGAGAGGGAGGGAGAGAGAGAGGAAGGGAGGGAGGGAAAGAAGGAAGACAGGGAAAGGAACGAAGGAGCAAAGGAGGCTGGTGAACTAAAGTGACTGATGTACACACACAGATGCTTGTCATACAGATTCTACAGATCTTTCATATGTGGAATTTGGAAAACGGAGCCGAAAGAGAACTCAAATCATTCTGACATTTCTAGGTCATGTGACAGAAGTGACAGTGCCTCTTCCTGAGTCCGGAAGGCTGCAAGGGAGCAGATGCCGCAGTCTGCTTGTCCACCCAAGGGCTTACAAATAACAGTGCTGACTAAGATCTGACCAACAGATAGCACTTATGACCACCAGTGCTGGGTCACATCCCAAGCCTGAAGAGACCACAGAGAAACCCGACCTCAGAGCTTGAATTTTTAAAGAGAGTAGACAGATAAGATTCTGTTGTGATAAGGCTGTGAAATGCCCTCGGAGAGCTGAGGAAAATACAGAGGTTTCAACAGTGGATGAAAAGCAGAGAAAAGAGGGCACCCATTAGCAAATAAAAGATGTGCCTCACCCTGCAGCAGAGTGACTGAGGACCCCCAACTTTGACTACACTTGACCTCTAAAGCGTGCTTGGGCCACTGGCAGAATTTACATGTTCTGCTGCTTCTGCAGGTTTGCACAGCTTCATGAGGCTAGTACAGGTATTTTCCCCATTTTACAGAGGAAGAAACTGAGGCGTGAAATTACCAAAGAACACTAGCTTGTGTTAATATCAAGCTCAGATCCAAACCCAGGTGCTCGGCCTCAACATTTATTGCTAGTTCCTCAACCTAGCACTGACCTCATAGTTAGTTGTATGTAATTAAAATGGTGGAAAAGAAGACTGGGAAAAATAAAAAATAATAATAAAAAATAAAAAATAAAGATAAATAAATAAATAAAATAAGAAATAAACATCAAGGAGTCAAAACACAAAAGCCTAGTTTTCTCTAAGCGGTGGGAACAGAGTTTTCATTATCTGCCGTCTCTTCTGCTGTGTATGTGCTTCTTCATTTTATCCTGAAAAACAGTGAATGTGGGTGGTAGTAGTTTATGAAAAAGAAAAACTGAACCTCCTCCATCTAAGATACTATTAAATTATGCAATCATTATCTTAATCTAATAATTATAAAAAAGAGTCTCATCTGTGCATCAAAAATATTGCAGAATTTCTGAAAGGAAATTAAAAAAAGAGTAGAGGAAAAACGGGGGCAGGGGTAAAGGAAGGCGCACAGTTCCACTTCCAGCTATAGAGCGATTGGAAGTTGTTAGCTGCAGGGAGAAAGTGAGGGTATCTCAAAGATTATAGCCCTTGATAAGTTGACCGCTCTCCTGTAGAAGATCATGTATCCAAAAAGACCTGGGCTGAACTAATTGGTCTTGAAGGATTCTTTTTTTAAATGACACAAAGTTGGGTAGGTAGGGGGCATGAATTGGGGAAGACTTAGGAGAGATGGCATGATCTAATGGCACATATACAAAGTTCGGGACGAATTAATAAAAAGAATAGAAGAGAGGGAATAATAAGACTGGGGAGGGGCACATAGGAGACACAAAATACCAAGCCACAACAAAACAAAACAAAACAAAACAACGCCATTTATGCTTCTGGGAGACTGAAACAAAACAAGAGAAGCTGTTAAAACCTCAGACCTTGAAAGAAGCAAAGATTGCAAGAAATTGTGTTTTCAAGGTCAAAACAATCAAAGCTTCCCCAACAATGCTAGACTCACCATGAAAACAGACTAGAAAAATAATTCAGTACATCTACTTTTTGGTGTGACAACTTTATCCTTAATTCATTTGTATATTTTATTTTAAAAATATGAAAACCATCCATTGATCCTAAGGAAGTTGGTTTCGGTGGGCACAGGAGGAAGGGGCATGATGATAAAGGTAGAGAACGACTTTTAAATCTGAGGATAGAAAACTTGAGGCTGTAGGAAGTAGTTTTCTCACATCCTCTAAGGTCTCAATGATGAGGGTTTGGGGGAAAATCGTCTTAATTGTTCTGGTTTCAAGTGAAGCTGTTTCTGATATTTGAACTATTAAGGAATCCTAGAATGTGTCTGTCTTATGCTTCAATGTTTGTATAGAGGCAGCCCAAACCCTCTTCTATACATGGACTCACCTTTGAGCTGAAACTCAAACCACCTTCTTCTGGGTTGGTACGCTTGTAACTTGTCAAACCATTCTCTTTTAGGGACCTCCAGGCACTGAGGGAGACTCTGGCCTGCAAGGTGAACCAGGTGCTAAGGTAACCAACCATTTGAAAGTGTAAGCAAGAAGGACATCTCTAACTTAACACACATATTTTCCCCAGTTTGACAAACACCATCTTTTTTATTTTTGGAGGGGGGCATGGTGGAGACAGTGTCTCACTGTGTAGCCAGGGCTATACTGAAACTCATTATGTAGAGCAGGCTGGCCCAAAACTCACAAAGAGCCACTATATCCAAGTGCTGGGAGTAAAGGCGTGAGCCACCACACTTGGCACCATCATCTTGAAGGCAGATTTAAGGCAGACCTTCAGGAGAGCAGAAAGTACTTAAGACGCTGATTCTTATAATATGCACTCGGTGATTAGAAGAACAACTTAAGTGAAGAAAAGCTTAGTCTTCCAGCTTAGCCTTCCTTTTGTCTCTCCAGGGAGATCTCGGATCTACTGGCAGTGCTGGAGCCACTGGGGAGCCGGGGCCACGAGTGAGTACCTACAATATCAAGCTTAATGCACCCACCCACTTGTTTGGGGGCACTCAAAACTTAACTACTCTAATCACACCAAAAAGTAGTGTAAATAAGCCTTTCATACGCACTGTGAAATGTTTCCTGGCTTTAAAAACTACACACTAAACCTCGTTTACATTCTAAGTTAGGCATTTGGAATCCGAAGTGTCTTTTCTCAAACCCAGGTGTGCTCTAAAGAGCTTGCCAAAAATGTTCGGTCATGTGGTTACTGCTCAGTGATGCATGAAAAAGAACTTCACAAATCACTGGTCAACACACAGGACTTTGTGGAAACTAACAGACAGATGAGAGCCTGAAATGTAATTTGTGTTTAAAAACCATCCCAGGACCCTGTGAAGCTAAGGAGATGCAAGGAAGTGTTTATGAGTAGTTGTAATTTGATAGCCTAGAAAAGTTATAATAATATAGACCTGCATTAAGCCATGATAAGTTGGCTTTTTTTTCTTTTTTTTTCTTTTATTGGGCTTTTTTCCTAAAATAGCAATGTTCAAGATAATTTTTCACTAAGAAGAAAAAGTATGAAGACTTACTTTTTTGTGTCTGGTTTGTTGCTTTGGGTCTTCCTTTTAGGAGCTGGGGATTAGAAATCAGTTTAATACATGGATCGTAAAGGAGAGTTGTGTGAATCTATTAAACAGTATTGGTTAATTCACTTTAACTTAATTATGAAGACAGCGACACTGCTTTAGCAGCTTTAGAAGCTATGGTCTATGCCTTCACAAGTTCTATATTGAAAAGGCAGCTTATGGGTGCGCCTTGGCCATAATCCTTGCCTCTCGGAGGGGAGAAAATACAGAAACTGGGAGTCAAATGAAACGATCACGAATGAGTTTGGTCCCGTTAACTCATGTTAAGTTCACTACAGCAAAGAACTGCATTTCTTACCACGGCGGTGTTTACATTCCCTGATCTCAGAGGCACGATCTAGCTAGGTTAATGTCCAGTCTCCAGATGAATGTGTTACCTTTAATTATCTAAAATGTATTAGTATTCCAGAAGCACACACTGCACTGGAATGTACAACAGTGACCATCTTAGGCATTGCCAGAGCTCTTCCAGGAAACTTCAGTCATGTTTGTTGTACCGTCAAGTCCTCTTCAGAGAAGAGGTTGAAGTAGGAATAAACGGCTACAAACTGGCTACTTCCTACACCTACTAGGGGCAAACTGCAAAGGAAGATCAACAAGATGACCAAAACCTTAATCTTACTTTGTCTGCTACCAAATAAAATAGGGAGAACCAGGAGCTCCTGGAGAAGAAGGTCTCCAAGGAAAAGATGGGTTAAAGGTAAACTGTATGTATGTATGTATGTATGTATGTATGTATGTATGCATGTATGTAAGTACGTACGTATTTCTTGATATAATGTGTGCTAAGCTAGCATCAAACTCACAATATATCCTGAAAATGACTGAAACTTTGGACCCTCCTGTCTCTACCTCCTAAATTCTGGGATTATGGGTTTTATTCAGTGCCCTACGGCAGGTCAACCCCACGGCTTCATATGTACTATCAGCACTAACAACTGAGCTACATCCTAGCCCTCAACTATAATTTTAAGTATAATATTTAAGATATCTGGCTTAATTACTTTTGTGTGTCAAATAAAAATATACGTCTTACATGACATAATGATTTCACTACATTCTTAAGAATAAACATCTGTCATTGGGTTCCAGGGTGCTCTGGGAGGAAGCGGACTTCCTGGAGAGGATGGAGACAAAGGAGAGTTGGGCTTACCAGGAACAGCAGGGCCCGTGGGGAGACCAGGTCAGATGGGCCTTCCAGTAAGTACTGCTGGTTCACTTAACTCAGTGCCATATGTACAAATACACACACACACACACACGTGTGCATGCTTGGACACACACATGCACATACACATATATACTATATACACATGCGCATCGATGTACACACACACACATATACACCACACACATTCACATGCATCACACACACATGCACATGCACCACACATACATGCACATACACATATATACCACACACATGTACACTCATGTGCATACACATACATATACACATATATACCACACCCATGTGCATGCACATGCACACACACATATGCACCATACACATGCACACCCATGTGCACACACACACACACACACACACATATGAAGCGGGCATGGGTTACAGGCACTGGCATGCACAATTTGCCCCCCTTTTATGTCTTCATGGTGACTGGAGATGTTGACTGAGTCTTGAGTGGGTAATAAAGCCAGACTGTGAGTCGTCCTCAGATGCAAAGGGGGAAAGACGTTTTTTCATAAACTTCTGCCCTAAAGCTTTTGCTGGGGAAAGTCTTCTGTTGTCTCAGACTTAATTTGTGTAAATATTCTGCTATGAACCCATGTTCTTGTTCTAGGATAACTTCCTAGCCCCCAGATGAAAATCCTTTGTAAGCATGATGTAGTACCAATACCTGCTCCTGAGTTACAAAGGAAATTAAATGTCGTAGTGAACAAATGTCCTCACTTAGAGGCAAATGTTTTAGGATGTAGATTAAAGTGAGATCAGTCTCTCTAACTCTTAGGCTCTTTGTGACACTGGTCCCCATGCAGCCTTCCTGTCTTCGGGTGGTTGTTAGTTTAAAGCTTTACTGTTGTTACCTCTGGTCTGATACTTTTAAGCATAGAGAATCACACTAGTTTTACCCCTCTAAGTTTGCCTGACGTTAGAGATTGTTCATTCCTTAGTAGAAGAATCCCTATGATTCTACTCAACAACAAGACTTCCCTCTCCTCTGTGTCCTGGCAATCTTCAGCCTTGTAGAAAATCAACATTCACTTTGAGCTGTGGAAGTCTCCTCCCTGGAAGATATCTCTGGAGCAGCTCATTTCTGTCTTTCCTCTCCTCATTAACCACATTCTTCTGGGCTCTTGTGTTTCCACGTGAGGGCTCTGCAAAGATTGAGGAACTGGCCCTGGGAGAATTCACCAGGCAGGAAGGCTGGGAACACAGAAGTGATTTATAAAGTTGGTTGGTGATCGATCGTTACGTGTTTTTACTGTGTGTCTCTTCACTGGCATCTAAAAATCCAAATCAATATATTGTCATATGGTGTAGCCCCTGCCTCGATCAGCTCAGCTGAGTTTGCCTCACCAAGATGAAAGAGCTGTCTTGAAAATCAAATCAAATACCATAAATGAAGCTATAACCGGCTCTCTCGTCACTCACAGGTATCCGCCACTGCGGTTCCTTTTGCGACAATGAAAATGATGCTATAATATAATTAATGTTATAAAATATAACATGTATTCTCCCCAAATAATAGGGGACTGCACCAGTGTATTTCAAACTGGCATCTAAAGAGTGAGCGTAAAGGGGCTGGAGAGATGGCTCAGCAGTTAACAGCTCTTGCTGTTCTTGCAGAGAGCCTGGGCAGGGTTCCCAGGATCCACACAGAAGCTAACAACCATCTTCTGTAACTCCAGTCCCAAGGAGGGTTCCCAGCATCCACATGGAAGCTAACAACCATCTTCTGTAACTCCAGTCCCAAGGAGGGTTCCCAGGATCCACACAGAAGCTAACAACCATCTTCTGTAACTCCAGTCCCAGGGAGTTCCATGTTCTCTTCTGACCTCTGCAGGTGCCAGGCATGCACCTGATGTGCATGCATGTTTGCTGACACACACTTACATGCATAAATTAACTAATTAAAGAAAAATGTGGATAAAGCGAAAACATCATTGTGTTTGAACGTTGGCAGGTGAAGATTGTTCCGTCCAGTTTTACCGTCATGGTAAATTGCCTATTTTTCCTCTGCCCTGACATCTCAACCCACCAAACATGCTGCCTAAAAGATCCTCCCTGAGGTTAAGCAACATGAACTCACTCACCTTCTCTCATAGAATCCTCTTAAGAATCTATATATGTGGCCAGGTGGTGGTGGCGCACGCCTTTAATCCCAGCACTTGGGAGGCAGAGGCAGGCGGATTTCTGAGTTCAAGGCCAGCCTGGTCTACAGAGTGAGTTCCAGGACAGCCAGGGCTACACAGAGAAACCCTGTCTCAAAAAACCAAAAAAAAAGTATGTAAAAGAATCTATATATATTATTATTCCTCTTCTCACCAGGAAAAAAAAAAACAGTACTGTAGCAGATGCCAGAGGTGACCACGACTCCTTTATTCTCTGATTTTAGCATCTCCCGAACCTCACTGAAGTACTCACTTTGGATTCTAAGTTTTACCTTCCTAGGGATCTTGATAGGTTTTATTATTTTTAGGGAATTAATTTTTCTATTAGTATCAGTACCTGTAAAAGAAGCAAAATGTCCAGGGCCAAGAAATTGTGATTTGGTCTAATTCTTGACAAATGATGTTTTTCAGGGCCAGGCATGTAGTTTAGGGATAAAGCATATGTCTAGCATGCAAAGGTGGGTTTTATCTCCAGCATGTGTGTACACACACTCATATATTGTATGTGTGTGTGTGCATATATGTGTGTGTATGTGTACATGTGTGTGTGTGCACCTCCAGTAACTTATACTTCACCAAGTGCCCCAGAGCAGAGCAGTAAACAGGGTCTGGGGAGATCACCTGAAAGAGAGAATAGGGGAAACAGACGAACGCAAAGACCAAGTAGCTTGTCTATAGTCTGATCAAACCGCTGATTTTACACAGGGGTTATATGCACATAGAGTCAGGATGTGGGGAAGGGGATGACGCAGGAGCGTAGGTGTTCAGGGGGAGTACAGGTATCTACCAGAACAGGTTATTGGCTGAGTGAAGGTTCAGGGAACAGGTCACTATGACTCTCTCTATGAATCACTTGTTTCTATCTAAGTTGGTACTATCCACCAAGGCTACCCAAGGACTATGACTATCCACAAGACCTATGACTACTTGTTCTTATCCAGGCTGGTAAATTTCCACAAAAGCTACCTGTTTACAACATCTTATAGCTATCTGTTTCAGTGTTTTTCCAGAGACCCGAGACTTTGTGTTAGCAGGCTGACTTAGGCCTATTGCTGATTTTAGGCTTTCAGTGTATAAGCAAGGCTGCCCCTGACAAGCAAGGACTTTTAAAATAACTACCTTGAACATACAGTGAAGGAAAAGAAGGGTCCAAGTGCACACAGCACAGCATCTCAGGGAGTCTGAGGATGCTGCCATATGACAGCTGGTGGGGAGAGTGGAGGTGGAGCAGAGGCTCCAAACGCAGCATGGAAAATGATAAACACAGACTCCATCTGCTTCCCAATGCCTCCCAGGACAAATCCTGCCCAGTACACATCTTGGTTACTTTTTTTCTTTCTCTCCCCACCCCTCTCTCTCTCTTTTTTCTTTTTTAGCAACAACACATGTGTGTTTCTTTTTTCTTCTTTTTTGTTGTTCTCTTTGGAATTTTAAATGCCTTTCAGATTATAAACTCAATAAAAATACCATGGCACTTTTTTTCAAAAGAATTTTATGATCCAAGGAGCTATTGCTTAATCAGGCAGCCTGATGTTGGTTTTATTTTGTGCTTTTAAAATTGTTCCTTCGGCAATGTCACAAAGATACTACCTCAAGTTTTACAAAAATAAACAAGGAAAGGGGGGAAAGAAGAAGAAGAAGGAGGAGGAGGAGGAAGAGGAGGAGGAGGAGGAGGAGGAGGAGGAGGAGGAGAGGAGGAAGCAGCAGCCCTTCACTCTGGAGGACTGGGAATGAGATCGGTGTTGAGGGAGTGTACAGGAAAATATCAATTGACAAATTCAAAATCCAACTTGTTGCTCCACTAAACAGAAGAGAGAATGTGCATATTTTATGCATGAATTCTATTCTAAAATGTTCACTTGCCCGAATGCATATCTCTGCTAGGAAAGAACATCTGTCTAACTTATGGTCGGTCGTCCACATCTGAAGAGTCTACCACAATGGCATTTCATCTCTAAACACATGTGGAGAACTCCAAAGTAGGACGTATTAAAATGAGATTATTTTGTTTTATGCCTTTAGTGAAAACTCCAGTCAGACTTACTGAAATATGCTTTTTTGATCTGCTTAAGGCACAGTGAGAGTTTCCTTGGGAACCCTGGGGAAATTTTGATTGGAAATTTAGGGTTGGTAACATTAAGTGACATTTGGGAATAAAAAACATACCTAAATCTTGTCACCTGGCATATTCTGTGACAGTCCTGCTAAGGTTTTGTTCCACTGTAAGTATCATAGATACAGAAATCCTATTCTGACCACTGTTTTCAAAGCTCCGATTGCTGCCCCCTCCCCCGGAAGAGCTGCATCACTGAGCAAGCTAGTCTCTGGTCTTATGCTTCATGTATTTACTGCATAGGATGACAGGCTGAGGCTCCTGTAGGTATTCCCAACATGGCTGTTGACTTATCATGGCTCTGCTCCCGATATTCCTACTTCCACTAGAAAGCACACATCTGCTTAACCTGTAGCTTCTGTATAGATTTTCTTCGGAAGAGAAGCCTCTGTGGCATTAAAACAGCATTCATTGGGGCTGGAGGGCTGGCTCCCCAGTGAGGAGCACAACTGCTCTGGCAGAAGGCTGAAGCTCAGTTCCTATGTCAATCAGCTTACACGACCTGTTACTCCAGCTCCAGGGGATGTGCTACCCACAGTGGGCTGGGCCTTGCCATGTCAATTAAAGCCAACAAGATAATACCATATAGACATGCCCGTGAGCTAACATAAGCTAGACAACTCTTCAACTGGTTCTCACTTGCCAGATGATTCTAAATTATGGAAAGTTGACAATGAAAAGTAATCACCACAGAGAGAGAACGTAACATGCTGGAGCCGTTAACACCTTCTCT